ACTCTACTCTACTCTACTCTACTCTACTCTACCCTACTCTCCCCTGATTGGGAGTGTTTCCTCTGGTCCTGTGTAACCAGTACCAGGTCCTTCTTTAGTCCCTCTTGGTTCTGGTTCTATCCAGGCCGAGCTGGTACTAAAGAGTTCTAACTGACAGTGATTGAGCAGTAGAGTAGGACAAGGTAGAGTAGAGTAGAGCAGAGCATAGTAGAGAAGAGTAGAGTCGAACAAAGTAGAGTAGAGTAGCACAAAGTAGAGTAGAGCATAGTAGAGTAAGGTAGAGTAGGGTAGAACAAAGTAGAGTAGAATAGAGAGGAGTAGAGTAGAGTAGAGTAGGGTAGAGTAGAGTAGAGTAGAGTAGAGTAGGGTAGAGTAGAGTAGAGTAGGGTAGGGTAGGGTAGAGTAGAGTAGAGTAGGGTAGAGTAGGGTAGAGTAGAGTAGAGTAGAGTAGGGTAGAGTAGAGTAGGGTAGGGTAGAGTAGAGTAGAGTAGGGTAGGGTAGAGTAGGGTAGAGTAGAGTAGAGTAGAGTAGGGTAGAGTAGAGTAGAGTAGGGTAGCGTAGGGTAGGGTAGAGTAGGGTAGGGTAGGGTAGAGTGGAGTAGGGTAGAGTAGAGTAGAGTAGGGTAGCGTAGAGTAGAGTAGAGTAGGGTAGAGTAGAGTAGGGTAGGGTAGAGTAGAGTAGGGTAGAGTAGAGTAGAGTAGAGTAGAGTAGGGTAGGGTAGAGTAGAGTAGGGTAGAGTAGGGTAGAGTAGAGTAGAGTAGAGTAGGGTAGAGTAGAGTAGAGTAGGGTAGAGTAGAGTAGAGTAGAGTAGGGTAGAGTAGAGTAGGGTAGAGTAGCGTAGAGTAGAGTAGAGTAGGGTAGGGTAGGCACGGTGGCTGAGTGGATAGCACTCTCGCCTCTCAGCAAGAAGGTCCTGGGTTCAAATCCCGGCCGGACCAGGGCCTTTCTGAGTGGAGTTTGCATGTTCTCCCCGTGTCTGCGTAGGTTTCCTCCGGGTACTCCGGTTTCCCCTACCACTAAAAATATGTACAATAGATCTGGCATGCGCCTCCTGTTCGGCGACCCCGCTCCCATCTCTGTGTGGAGTGAGAGACAAGTGCCCAAAAAATAATAACAATTGTAAACTGCTTTGTGACCCTTGTCTGTGAAAGGCGGTATATAAATAAACATTACTTACTTACTTACTAGGGTAGAGTAGGGTAGAGTAGAGTAGAGTAGGGTAGAGTAGAGTAGGGTAGAGTAGGGTAGGGTAGAGTAGACTAGGGTAGAGTAGGGTAGAGTAGAGTAGGGTAGGGTAGAGTAGGGTAGAGTAGGGTAGAGTAGAGTAGGGTAGAGTAGAGTAGGGTAGAGTAGAGTAGAGTAGGGTAGAGTAGGGTAGAGTAGAGTAGGGTAGAGTAGGGTAGAGTAGAGTAGAGTAGAGTAGAGTAGGGTAGAGTAGAGTAGAGTAGGGTAGGGTAGAGTAGAGTAGAGTAGCGCTGGTGGAAACAGGGCTATATCTCACCTCTGTGCAGAGACAGAAGCAGGTTTAGTCTGTTATATATAAATAAATGAATCGTGCGACATCAGCAGACCGACATCTGTGCAGTGTGTTCCGACTGCAGGCAACAACAAGAGTTTAAAGGCTTCGGCCACGTGGCGCACAGACGCACTTCTGAGTAAAAACAATAAAAACAGACATTAAAAGACAATGGCGCGGGGGTTAGCGGTTAGCAGTAAAAATGCTAATCGGAGCAAGTGCAGAATCGCTCCCTTAGTCTACTCTACGTCCCTTCAAACGCTAAATAACAAACCTCTCTCTGTGAAAACTAGGAAAACGCAAGATTGCAAAAGTAAATTCTATAAAATATCTTAATCTTACATACAGTACGATACAAAATAGGTTTGAGGACAGCGTCAAAAGCTGTAAGGTTTGGGAGCGCTGGTTGCGTCAGTCCCGGTCGGGTTTCTCTTCTTTCTTTCTCTTTGTCTTTTGAGTTTGGTTCCAAGGAAGACTTCTCAAAAATGTGCTCCGGCTTTCGAGACTTTCGCGGACGACAGCAGGAAAGAAAAGGCTTCACAGTGGAGGGGAGGGGTGAGGAGGGGTGAGGAGGGGTGAGGAGGGGTGAGGAGGGGGAGGACGTTCTCTGCAACCCCCAAGTCCAGTGGGCACTTTGTAAAGAACACAGGTGAAGATGTGGAGGCTGCGCTCGCGAGAATTGGGCCAAAAAAACAAACATATTTTGAATCTTAAAGACCTTATGACAGGTTTTTAAAAAATAAATAGTGGATATCAAAATTGCATGACAATGTCAATTTGAAAGAGATTCCGGCAAAAAAAAATCCTATATTTTATAAAAAGAAGGTGTTTTTCATGAATTTAAGTTGTCTATGCTCTAACCTGTGTGTGACGTCACAGCGGGTAACGCCCATGCATTGAAAACCATGGATCTATGCCACAGGACTGCCTTTTCTCTCTTCTCTCCACTGATGCCCAACACAATACTGCCCTCTACAGGTGACAATTGCTCACTACACATAAATTGCCGTTTTGAGAGTGAAAAAGTGTCCGAGGTGGGATTTGAACCCAAGTATCTGGATTGTCAGTCCATCGACACAACCACTGGACTATCTCAGTGACAACAAAGTGTTACATTCTAGTAGTTATCTTAGACTCGCTGTACACGGCCTTGTCATCTTGAATATCCGCGAAAAAAGAACGAATACCAAATTGTAAACAACTTAGGCTATATCCACACGAAGACAAAACGCTTATAATTTCAGAAACTTTTTCTGTAAACACGGAGTTAGCTCAGTAAATGTGTGCGTCCATATGAATGTAGTCAATACGCCTGAAAACGCTGTGAAACTATGCCAGACCTGTTGGTGGCGCTGTGACGCAATGACGGGATCAAGCCCAAACTTCCGTGACGGGAACTGGGCATGCGCGGAATTTTGTAAACAGACAACATGGCGAGTGGGCGAGCTGGTACTACATTAGTATGGACGGACGATGAGGTTGAACTGTTGCTTCGGGTCACACTGGATTACAAAACAACAAGCTACATTGTTGTTGTCATTATTTTCTGAGTGCGGCGCATGCGTGCTTTAACAAGAGGCGGGGCGATGACGCAAGCGTCTCAGATACATTGCGGAGAGGCAGTAACCACGGAGCGACATATACGGAGTTTTGAAATCTTTCCACTCTGGGACCTGGTTTCAAAAATGTTCGTTTACACCCCCCCAAAACGCCGGCCTCGTATGGACGATACACTGGATTGATAAAGTATTTTTGCGTTTAGGCCTGAGCTTGACTTCGTGTGGACAGGGCCTTACAGCGTTGAAACGTACACACTCTGACGTCACCAAGGGCTGTGAAGTTTTTTCGTTTCTAAGGGCGTTGCTATGGGGTTATTTCGATTTGGGGGGGATCAGACAAAAAAAACAACAACTGATTTTGAAACCTTTAGTAGTTCTCTTCTAATATAAAATGGTATTAAAACTATTTCTAAATAAATCAAACCCGTCATAAGGTCTTTAAAGGAGATGTATTACTGCTAATTCCTCTGTATCGACCTGGAGTTGTGTTTAGATCCATCCACGCTAAAATCAGGAACTTCTGGACCAATCACATCAGACTTTTTGAAACAAAAGTATGGCACATAAATTATAATTCAGTCCTGGGTCTACAGCCTCAGTCCTGGGTCTACAGCCTCAGTCCTGGGTCTACAGCCTCAGTCCTGGATCCAGATTGATCCATATATACTAATATGTACAATACTAATGCATTAAGAATTGAAAGTGCTTCCATTTGTCACAATAGATTACTAGGATGGAAAAGTTGGGAACCACAGTTTTAGACAGAAGGGACGGGGGGACTGGTCGTAGCGTTCAATCAACTCCAGGTCTATTTGAGGAACAATAAAATGGCCGACTTGACCAGCAGTTGGTACATGGTCAGATAAGCTAGTGTTAACGTCATGCTAGCAGTTCTGTGTATTACTAGCTTTAGCCACGATTAAGAGTAAGATTAGACGATAATAGGAACTTTGGGCTCTTGAGAGCTCTAGAGTGGACTCGTGAGCGCAGCCTGCAGGTGGGAGGGCGACAATGTGGGACAGGAATGGACAGAAGTTTTCCTGAGTGCAAAAATAAGTTTGGGAAACCAGTGTGATCAGCAGCTTTGGAATCAAACACACGCAAAAAACACAGCGGCTACGTCCACAGCAAAGAAACAGTCCTCCCAGCTATTCTACAGTAGCCTAGCTTTGGTCAGACAAGCTAGTACCATGCTAACACTAGTAATGCTAACACTAGCTCATGTACATTATTATCACATACATCATAATCTGTGTAATCCATGAGCAAATATACGATGGGAGTGGGCTGGGATTAATGGGAAGTTGTGATTTGAATTGGTGAGCTAAGCTAGCGTCATGCTAACGTTAAACTAGCAGTCGGTCATTTTAACTCTTTGGACTTTAGTAAATAAGAATACGTTGATGACATTTGGCCTTTCATGTTTGGTGTACTATTCGCTTTAGCAAATAAAAACATGAGCAAAAAGAAGATTTGGTTTGGTGTTGTCGAATGAGCTAGCGTTATGCTAACTGTTTGGCAGTTTTGTGTTTTGTTAGCTTTAGCCAATATTAGCATAATAGTAAGATTAAAATAACAGATTTGGTTCGGTCAGATAAGCTAGCGTTATGCTAACGTCAGGCTAACAGTTTTCATACATTGGGACTGGGGAATGATAGGCAGTTGTGGTTTGATTTGGTTTGATAAACTAGTGTTATGCTAACATGAAGCTAGCAGTTAGATTTAGCCTGGCCTCTGAGCTGCTTTCACGTCATCACTTGTGCTAAACTACTCCTTCTATGGTCTTGAAAGTTACAGAGCCTGGCTTTAACCTGCCGTGGCCCTTTGCTTTGCGTGGACGTAGCCTCGAACTCCCCCAAAAAACTCCCCATAAATAAATAAATCTCTGTCATTACTAAGAGTTCGTGAGGTGCGTTCAGACACTGCTATGTATCAGCTGTCCTGTGCACCTCCTCCTCATTCTCCTCCAGCGGGACGCGAGAAGGAGACGACGGCACCTCCTCCTCCTCCTCCTCTTCGTCTACCTCCGGTACGCACAGAGTCTCCTCCTCCTCCTCCTCCCTCACTTGTTCGTCCAGTATCTCTGTGCATTCTGAGTCCTGCGTGCAAAGTGTTTTTGAGTCCTCCTCCTCCTCCTCGTCGTCCTCCTCCTCCTCCTCTTCGTCCTCCTCCTCCTCGTTGGGGCTGCCGCTGTCCTTCTCCGTGTCGCTCTCGTTGTCTTCCTCCAGCGTGAGCTCGAACTGGAACTTGTCTCCTCCGGGGGGCCTGCCGTCGGCCGGGTCGTCCAGCGCGGGGGAAGGGCTCTGTGGGATGGTGCTCTGGTACCACTCACGGTTGTCCTCCAGAGTGTCCAGGATGTCCTGTGCATCCGGGTGGACCAGGTCTGCCCAGGTCTCCCACAGAGGGTGCACGATGTAGTCTATGAAGCCCACCTGAGGAGAGGAGGTAAGACACATTATACAGTGCCTTGCGAAAGTATTTGGCCCCCTTGAACCTTTCAACATTTCGCCACATTTCAGGCTTCAAACATAAAGATATAACATTTTTATTTTTTGTCATGAATCAACAACAAGTGGGACACAATCGTGAAGTGGAACAAAATTTATTGGATCATTTCAACTTTTTTAACAAATAAAAAACTGAAAAGTGGGGCGTGCAATATTATTCGGCCCCTTTACTTTCAGTGCAGCAAACTCAGTCCAGAAGTTGAGTGAGGATCTTTGAATGATCCAATGTTGTCCTAAATGACTGATGATGATAAATAGAATGCTCCTGTGTGTAATCAAGTCTCCGTATAAATGCACCTGCTCTTTGATAGTCTCAGGGTTCTGTTTAAAGCGCAGAGAGAACCATGAAGACAAAGGAACACACCAGGCAGGTCCCAGATACTGTTGTGGAGAAGTTTAAAGCCGGATTTGGATACAAAAAGATTTCCTAAGCTTTAAACATCTCAAGGACCACTGTGCAAGCAATTATATTGAAATGGAAGGAGTTTCAGACCACTGAAAATCTACCAAGACCCGGCCGTCCCTCCAAACTTTCATCTCAAACAAGGAGAAGACTGATCAGAGATGCAGCCAAGAGGCCCATGATCACTCTGGATGAACTGCAGATAACTACAGCTGAGGTGGGAGAGTCTGTCCATAGGACAACAATCAGTCGTGCACTGCACAAATCTGGCCTTTATGGAAGAGTGGCAAGAAGAAAGCCATTTCTCAAAGATATCCATAAAGGTCTCGTTTAAAGTTTGCCACAAGCCACCTGGGAGACACACCAAACATGTGGAAGAAGGTGCTCTGGTCAGATGAAACCAAAATCTAACTTTTTGGTCACAATGCAAAACAATATGTTTGGAATAAAAGCAACACAACTCATCACCCTGAACACACCATCCCCACTGTCAAACATGGTGGTGGCAGCATCATGCTTTGGGCCTGCTTTTCTTCAACAGGGACAGGGAAGATGGCTAAAATTGATGGGAAGATGGATGGAGCCAAATACAGGACCATTCTGGAAGAAAACCTGTTGGAGTCTACAAAAGACCTGAGACTGGGACGGAGATTTATCTTCCAACAGGACAATGATCCAAAACATAAAGCCAAATCTACAATGGAATGGTTCACAAATAGACGTATCCAGGTGTTAGAATGGCCAAGTCAAAGTCCAGACCTGAATCCAATCGAGAATCTGTGGAAAGAGCTGAAGACTGCTGTTCACAAACGCTCTCCATCCAACCTCACTGAGCTCCAGCTGTTTTGCAAGGAAGAATGGGAAAGAATTCCAGTCTCTGCATGTGCAAAACTGATAGAGACATACCCCAAGAGACTTGCAGCTGTAATTGCAGCAAAAGGTGGCGCTACAAAGTATTAGCGCAAGGGGGCCGAATAATATTGCACGCCCCACTTTTCAGTTTTTTATTTGTTAAAAAAGTATAAATTATCCAATACATTTCGTTCCATTTCACGATTGTGTCCCACTTGTTGTTGACTCTTGACAAAAAATTTAATTTTTATATCTTTATGTTTGGAGCCTGAAATGTGGCGAAATGTTGAAAGGTTCAAGGGGGCCGATTACTTTTGCAAGGCACTGTACAACCAGAGAGAGACCAGGGAGACCAGAGAGATCAGAGAGAGACCAGAGAGAGACGAGAGAGAGACCAGGGAGACCAGAGAGAGACCAGTGTGACCAGGGAGACAAGGGAGACAAGAGAGACCAGAGAGAGACCAGGGAGTCCAGAGAGACCAGAGAGAGACCAGAGAGACAAGAGACCAGAGAGACCAGAGAGATCAGGGAGACCAGAGAGACCAGAGAGAGACCAGAGACAGAGAGACGAGAGACCAGAGAGAGAGACCAGAGAGATCAGAGAGACCAGAGAGACAGAGAGACCAGAGAGACCAGAGAGAGACAGAGAGACCAAGAGACCAGCGAGACAAGAGAGACCAGAGAGATCAGAGAGACCAGGGAGACAGAGAGAGAGAGAGAGCCCAGAGAGATCAGGGAGACCAGAGAGACCAGAGAGACAAGAGAGACCAGAGAGATAATGGAGACAAGAGAGACAAGGGAGACTAGGTGACAAGGGAGAGACCAGAGAGGGTGCATGATGTAGTTTATGAAGCCCACCTGAGGAGAGGAGGTAAGACGCTTTATACAACCAGACCAGACAGACAGAGAGAGCCAAAGACCAGAGAGAGACCAGACCAGAGAGAGACCAGAGAGACCAGAGTTAAGACAGACAATAGACACCAGAGAGGGTGCAGGATGTAGTCGTAGAGGTCAGACCAGAGAGAGTCCAGAGAGAGACCAAAGAGACCTAAAGCGAGACTGGAAGCGTCAGCCAATGTGGTTTGAAGAAAAAAAAATGACGTCTTACATGACCAGAGACCAGAGAGACTTATCTAATCAGTCCTTACTACATGCACATGGTCCGTCTGATCCTGGCGTGTGGGTCTGGTACCTGGCTTTTCTCCACGGAGGCGTTGTGCTTGTCACACATGGGGCTGATCTCCATCCCCCGCTCCCTCTCGCGGTCGCCCTGGCTGAAGAACTCCTCCATGATGCGGTCCGTCCACTGTCGGTACAGCTGCAGCGGTTTGGTGGGGTTACTGAGGTCTGCACAGTGCACCATGTTCTGGAGGACCTGCAATCAGACACACCAGGTGAGACTGAAGGACCAGGAAGGAGGTTCTGGAAGAGCTGCAAACAGAGAGACCAGAGAGAGAGAAGAGAGAGAAGAGAGAGGCTGGAGGGAGAGGGAGAGAGAAGAGAGAGAGAGAGAGAGACAGAGAATAGAGAGTGAGAGAAGAGAGAGAGAATAGAGAGCGAGAGAGATAGAGAGAAGAGAGATAGAGAGAAGAAAGGGACTGGAGAGAGACTGGAGAGAGAGAGAGAGAAGAGAGAGAAGAGAGAGGCTGGAGGGAGAGGGAGAGAGAAGAGAGAGAGAGACTGTAGGGAGAGAGAGAAAGAGACAGAGAAGAGAGAGAGAGAGAAGAGAGAGAGAATAGAGAGCGAGAGAGATAGAGAGAATAAAGGGACTTGAGAGAGACTGGAGAGAGAGAGAGAGAAGAGAGAGAGATCTGAGACCAGCGAGATAATGGAAAGAGAGGGAAGAGAGAGGGACCAGAGAGAGAGATTAGAGAGAGACCACAGAGAGACTGAAGAGAGAGAGAGAGACCGGAGAGGGACTGGAGAAGCCAGAGAGGCAAGACAAGAGTATGGACAAAAGGATCAAGAAGAGATTCTGAATTACCTGGAAACAGAGGGACCAGAGAGAGACTAGCGAGAGAGATAGCAGAGAGTTTGTGTGAGAGAGAGACCAGAGAGAGAGACCAGAGAGAGGCTGGAGAGAGAGAGATACCAGAAAGTGAGAGAGAGAGACCAGATTCAAGCCAAAGAGACAAGACTGAGAAGACCTGAGAACAAAAAGACCAGATAGACCAGAGACAGACTGGAGAGACAAGTGAGAGAGAAGCCAGAGAGAGACATAGAAACCAGAGAGAGACCCGAGAAACAAGAAGGAGGGAGAGAGACCAGAGAGAAGCCAGGGACAAGACAAGAGTTTGGGCTGAAGGATCAAGAACCGGTTCTGGAGGACCTGAGAACAGAGAGAGAGAGACCAGATGGACAAGAGAGACCTCAGAACAGCCAACTTTGGACGTTCAAGATGTGTTTATGTGGAACTTGTTAATCTGATGAACCTGTGGAACCTCTGATCAGGCCTAAATAAGATCCCTGGGTTTACGTGTATGTAGCTGGGATCGGTTCAGACAGAAGCAGCGATGTCCTCTCTGTGCCAGCAGGGGGCGCTCACCTGTATCCTGTCAGAGTAGTTGTCCAGCAGCAGCACTCCGGAGCTCGTGACCTTCTTCGTCTCCACCATGGTCTTCAGATCGGCCAGAAGGTTCATGTGCTTGGACATGTCTGTGGCCAACACCTGAGGGACACAGGACCTCGTCACGGCTTTAACCGACGGTGAAACATGAGACCGATCAGAGGCTATCGATCCAGTGACGGGAAAACACTCAGAAACGTGCTATATTTAATTCTATGTATTTATCACTGTCCTTAGACCCTCCTGCGATGAGAAGGATAGACCTGAAACAATGACATCGGGAGAGAACGTGAGAAACCTCGGGGAGACCCACATAGAGAGAGAGAGATCCACTTCCACAGACTGTAGATCCAGGACTGAGGCTGTAGACCCAGGACTGAGGCTGTAGACCCAGGACTGAGGCTGTAGACCCAGAACTGAGGCTGTAGATCCACGACTGAGGCTGTAGATCCAGGACTGAGCCTGTAGATCCAGGACTGAGGCTGTAGACCCAGGACTGAGGCTGTAGACCCAGGACTGAGGCTGTAGACCCAGGACTGAGGCTGTAGACCCAGGACTGAGGCTGTAGATCCAGGACTGAGGCTGTAGATCCAGAACTGAGGCTGTAGATCCACGACTGAGGCTGTAGATCCAGGACTGAGGCTGTAGACCCAGGACTGAGGCTGTAGACCCAGGACTGAGGCTGTAGATCCAGGACTGAGGCTGTAGATCCAGGACTGAGGCTGTAGACCCAGGACTGAGGCTGTAGACCCAGGACTGAGGCTGTGGATCCAGGACTGAGGCTGTAGATCCAGGACTGAGGCTGTAGACCCAGGACTGAGGCTGTAGACCCAGGACTGAGGCTGTAGACCCAGGACTGAGGCTGTAGATCCAGGACTGAGGCTGTAGACCCAGGACTGAGGCTGTAGATCCAGGACTGAGGCTGTAGATCCAGGACTGAGGCTGTAGACCCAGGACTGAGGCTGTAGACCCAGGACTGAGGCTGTAGATCCAGGACTGAGGCTGTAGACCCAGGACTGAGGCTGTAGACCCAGGACTGAGGCTGTAGACCCAGGACTGAGGCTGTAGACCCAGGACTGAGGCTGTAGACCCAGGACTGAGGCTGTGCAGTGCAGTATTGAAGAGGCGGGTGCTTTTCTTCTGCAGGGGTGGGAGATGCGGCTGTACTTACGATGTCGATGACCATCTTTCGCAGTGATTGTCTCTGTTTTTTGGTCAGGTTTTGGAAGATGTCACAGTTCTCCTCCTGCAGCAGTTTGAAGCCCACGGCCAAGTGGTGGTTCTCCAACACGGAGGAGTCGTTATACATGAGAGCCAGCTCAGAGTCTGTGGAGGAGAGAGACTGATGTGAGAGACTTTAGAGAGAGAGAGAGAGAGAGAGAGAGAGAGCTCAGAGTCTGTGGAGGAGAGACTGATGTGAGAGAGTTTAGAGAGAGAGAGAGAGAGAGAGAGAGAGAGAGCTCAGAGTCTGTGGAGGAGAGAGACTGATGTGAGAGACTTTAGAGAGAGAGAGAGAGAGAGCTCAGAGTCTGTGGAGGAGAGAGACTGATGTGAGAGACTTTAGAGAGAGAGAGAGAGAGAGCTCAGAGTCTGTGGAGGAGAGAGACTGATGTGAGAGACTTTAGAGAGAGAGAGAGAGAGAGAGCTCAGTCTGTGGAGGAGAGAGACTGATGTGAGAGACTTTAGAGAGTGAGAGAGAGAGAGAGCTCAGAGTCTGTGGAGGAGAGAGACTGATGTGAGAGACCTTAGAGAGAGAGGGAGAGAGAGAGAGAGAGAGAGAGAGCCAGCTCAGAGTCTGTGGAGGAGAGAGACTGATGTGAGAGACTTTAGAGAGAGAGAGAGAGAGAGAGAGCCAGCTCAGAGTCTGTGGAGGAGAGACTGATGTGAGAGACTTTAGAGAGAGAGGGAGAGAGAGAGAGAGAGAGCTCAGAGTCTGTGGAGGAGAGACTGATGTGAGAGACCTTAGAGAGAGAGAGAGAGAGAGAGAGAGCTCAGAGTCTGTGGAGGAGAGACTGATGTGAGAGACCTTAGAGAGAGAGAGAGAGAGAGAGCTCAGAGTCTGTGGAGGAGAGACTGATGTGAGAGACTTTAGAGAGAGAGGGAGAGAGAGAGAGAGAGAGCTCAGAGTCTGTGGAGGAGAGACTGATGTGAGAGACCTTAGAGAGAGAGAGAGAGAGAGAGAGCTCAGAGTCTGTGGAGGAGAGACTGATGTGAGAGACTTTAGAGAGAGAGGGAGAGAGAGAGAGAGAGAGAGAGAGAGCTCAGAGTCTGTGGAGGAGAGACTGATGTGAGAGACTTTAGAGAGAGAGAGAGAGAGAGAGAGAGCTCAGAGTCTGTGGAGGAGAGACTGATGTGAGAGACTTTAGAGAGAGAGGGAGAGAGAGAGAGAGAGCTTAGAGTCTGTGGAGGAGAGACTGATGTGAGAGACTTTAGAGAGAGAGAGAGAGCGAGAGCCAGCTCAGAGTCTGTGGAGGAGAGACTGATGTGAGAGACTTTAGAGAGAGAGGGAGAGAGAGAGAGAGAGCTTAGAGTCTGTGGAGGAGAGACTGATGTGAGAGACTTTAGAGAGAGAGAGAGCGAGAGCCAGCTCAGAGTCTGTGGAGGAGAGACTGATGTGAGAGACTTTAGAGAGAGAGAGAGAGAGAGAGAGAGAGCCAGCTCAGAGTCTGTGGAGGAGAGACTGATGTGAGAGACCTTAGAGAGAGAGAGAGAGAGAGAGAGAGAGAGCCAGCTCAGAGTCTGTGGAGGAGAGACTGATGTGAGAGACTTTAGAGAGAGAGAGAGAGAGAGAGAGAGAGCCAGCTCAGAGTCTGTGGAGGAGAGACTGATGTGAGAGACCTTAGAGAGAGAGAGAGAGAGAGAGAGAGAGCCAGCTCAGAGTCTGTGGAGGAGAGACTGATGTGAGAGACCTTAGAGAGAGAGAGAGAGAGAGAGAGAGAGAGAGAGAGAGAGCTCAGAGTCTGTTGAGGAGAGACTGATGTTAAGATAAATTAGAGAAGAAAAATCATGGACACAAAAAGAAAAAAGAGGGACCAGAGAGAACAGAGAAAGAGAGACAAGAGAGAGACCAGAGAGAAAAAACAGGGATAAAACAAAGAGAGAGAGACCAGAAAGAATGTGACAGAGGCCAAATATAGAAGGATGTGAAAACTGTGTTAGAGCTTCCTGTTTCAGACCCAGGAGCCAGTGACATATTCTAGATTATTTAGTGTGTTTTAAAGTTAGCGACCCTAGCTTGAAACAGCTCCACTCACTCGTGCTGATGAGAAACTGGTTGGAGACTCCTGGATGGTCAACATCGTGGATCGCACTGGCAAAAATGGCAGCTAAGATCTCCAAGTCGGTGAACACAGCCTGGAGCAGAGCAGAAGGAGACCACTTTAGAGCTAACGACGCTAACGTCAGGAATAAGCAAATACGTTTTCAACAGACTTAAACAACAACATATCCTCTCGTCATGGGGTGAGGATAGAAGAAGACAATAGATACGTCTGAATCTGAATGTTTTATAAAGCATTCAACCACAGCGCTCTAGTCGGACTTTCTTCCAAACCGGTCTGCACAGTCTGGTCCTGGTCTACACGAGGCACTGAGTAACATGGGGCTCTCAAAACTTTGCCTGAGCACTCACACTTTGAAACAATGGTTGTAAATGTTGCGCAGCTGAAGATAGCAGAGGTTTGAACAGTCTGTGGGGTTCCCCAGGGGTCTATCCTTGGTCCACTTTTGTTTACTGTATAACACACTATTGCCAAACGTAATCACACATCATCTTGTTACTTCACCACCAGGGTATTGGGTTGGACAGACTCAGGACTTTCTCACACCCAGGTCTTGGGATGGGACCGACTCAGGACTTCCTTACCTCCAGGGCGGGGGTGGACAGCAGCACGTGTGTGGATTGCGTGACGTCAGCGGCGTGGATGTTGTTGTGATAGGCCACATCGGCGTGGTAGTGGTCTTCTAACGTCATCAGGTAAGTTATAAAAGTGTCCAGGGGGATCTTGAAGGTCTTCAGAAGGTCTCGCTCCTGCAGAGAACCAGAGGAACATGTCGTAAAGGGGCCAGATGGACCGTGAGTAGGGCACAGAATGATCTAGTATTGGATAGTGTTGCGATATTTGAGCCACAATTCAATATTATTGCGATTCTTAACACGATACTTCGATATAGTGCTTTTCATTTTCCACTTATAATTCAAAGACGTTAGAAAAATTGAGTAAAATAAGACTAAACTAAACTATGACATTTTTTATGGTCTGTGCATGAACTGAAGCAAACGTTCAGGACACAGGACCTTACTTCAGGCGAGACATCATTCTCTATCATGTACTGTTGTATAATTAGACCTTTTTACTCCTGCTTTTGGCATACTTTAGTCCTGGTTTAGCCCTGCTTCAGTTCTGCTTTAGTCCTGGTTGGTTTAGACCTGTTGCTTTAGTCCTGGTTTAGACCTGCTTTAGTCCTGGTTTAGACCTACTTAAGTCCTGCTTTAGACCTGTTTTAGTTCTGCTTACGTCCTGGTTTAGACCTGCTTAAGTCCTGCTTCAGTCCTGGTTTAGACCTGCTTAAGTCCTGCTTCAGTCCTGGTTTAGACCTGCTTAAGTCCTGCTTCAGTCCTGGTTTAGTCCTGGTTTAGACCTGCTTTAGTCCTGGTTTTGTCCTGAGACCTGCTTTAGTCCTGCTTCAGTCCTGGTTTAGTCCTGGTTTAGACCTGCTTTAGTCCTGGTTTAGACCTGCTTTAGTCCTGGTTTAGACCTGCTTTAGTCCTGCTTTAGACCTGCTTTAGACCTGCTTAAGTCCGGCTTCAGTCCTGGTGTAGTCCTGCTGCTTCAGTCCTGGTTTAGACCTGCTTTAGTCCTGGTTTAGACCTGTTTAAGTCCTGCTTCAGTCCTGGTGTAGTCCTGCTGCTTCAGTCCTGGTTTAGACCTGCTTCAGTCCTGCTTTAGACCTGGTCCTGCTTCAGTCCTGGTGTAGTCCTGCTGCTTCAGTCCTGGTTTAGACCTGCTTTAGTCCTGGTTTAGACCTGTTTAAGTCCTGCTTCAGTCCTGGTGTAGTCCTGCTGCTTCAGTCCTGGTTTAGACCTGCTTTAGTCCTGGTTTAGACCTGTTTAAGTCCTGCTTCAGTCCTGGTGTAGTCCTGCTGCTTCAGTCGTGCTGTTGTGTTTGAAGCCCCAAAGTCTGGTACCTGGAATATGGTGTACATCATCACTGTCAGCGGTCGATTATCAGAAAACTCAGAGATTTTAAAAACATTAAGGCCCCATTTATTTACGTGTTCCAGCTCCTGAAAAACACACAACGTAAAAAGACACTTTTAAAGACGGAAAACACAGGAAATTATTAATGTCTTCTTTGTCAAAGATGGCGAAAGATCCAACATCAATATATTATGTTTTATTGATGCTGAAAGACAGTAGTTCTGTGTCTTTATGGACTGGTCGTACTGATGGACTTGGTTCTGGTCTGGTCCATCTGTCTCTGGTCTTACTGATGGACTTGGTTCTGGTCTGGTCCATCTGTCTTTGGTCTTACTGATGGACTTGGTTCTGGTCTTACTGATGGACTTGTTTCTGGTCTGGTCCATTGGCCTCTGGTCTTACTGATGGCCTTGGTTCTGGTCTGGTCCATCTGTCTTTGGTCTTACTGATGGACTTGGTTCTGGTCTTACTGATGGACTTGGTTCTGGTCTGGTCCATCTGTCTCTGGTCTTACTGATAGACTTGGTTCTGGTCTGGTCCATCTGTCTCTGGTCTTACTGATGGACTTGGTTCTGGTCTGGTCCATCTGTCTCTGGTCTTACTGATGGACTTGGTTCTGGTCTTACTGATGGACTTGTTTCTGGTCTGGTCCATTGGCCTCTGGTCTTACTGATGGACTTGGTTCTGGTCTGGTCCATCTGTCTCTGGTCTTACTGATGGACTTGTTTCTGTCTTATGATGGACTTGGTTCTGGTCTTACTGATGGATTGGTCTCTGGTCTTACTGATGGACTTGTTTCTGGTCTGGTCCATGCCTCTGGTCTTACTGATGGACTTGTTCTGGTCTGGTCCATTGTCTCTGGTCTTACTGATGGACTTGGTTCTGGTCTGGTCCATCTGTCTTCCATACTGATGGACTTGGTTCTGGTCTGGTCCATGGTCTCTGGTCTTACTGATGGACTTGGTTCTGGTCTTACTGATGGACTTGTTTCTGGTCTGGTCCATTGGCCTCTGGTCTTACTGATGGACTTGGTTCTGGTCTGGTCCATCTGTCTCTGGTCTTACTGATGGACTTGTTTCTTGTCTGGTCCATCTGTCTCTGGTCTTACTGATGGACTTGGTTCTGGTCTGGTCCATCTGTCTCTGGTCTTACTGATGGACTTGGTTCTGGTCTTACTGATGGACTTGGTTTTGGTCTGGTCCATTGGCCTCTGGTCTTACTGATGGACTTGGTTCTGGTCTGGTCCATCTGTCTCTGGTCTTACTGATGGACTTGGTTCTGGTCTGGTCCATCTGTCTCTGGTCTTACTGATGGACTTGGTTCTGGTCTGGTCCATCTGTCTCTGGTCTTACTGATGGACTTGGTTCTGGTCTTACTGATGGACTTGTTTCTGGTCTGGTCCATTGGCCTCTGGTCTTACTGATGGACTTGGTTCTGGTCTTACTGAGGGACTTGTTTCTGGTCTGGTCCATTGGCCACTGGTCTTACTGATGGACTTGGTTCTGGTCTGGTCCATCTGTCTCTGGTCTTACTGATGGACTTGTTTCTAGTCTGGTCCATCGGTCTCTGGTCTTACTGATGGACTTGGTTCTGGTCTGGTCCATCGGTCTCTGGTCTTACTGATGGACTTGGTTCTGGTCTGGTCTTACTGATGGACTTGGTTCTGGTCTGGTCCATCTGTCTCTGGTCTTACTGATGGACTTGGTTCTGGTCTGGTCCATCTGTCTCTGGTCTTACTGATGGACTTGGTTCTGGTCTTACTGATGGACTTGGTTCTGGTCTGGTCCATCGGTCTCTGGTCTTACGGATGGACTTGGTTCTGGTCTGGTCCTCGGTCTCTGGTCGTACTGATGGACTTGTTTCTGGTCTGGTCCATCGGTCTCTGGTCTTCACCTTTGCCAGAGTGTCCTCTGTCTCGGTCTTGACTCCGAAGCGTGGGATGTTGGAGTTGGTCAAACTGGACGAGTGTTGGAGCTTCTTGACGCCGCTGATCTGGGACATGGGCTTGTTCTTCTCTTTGTCCTTTTGGGCCTGAGGACACGGCATCTCCACCTCGTGCTGTTTGTCTGCATCACCACAACACAGACACACACATGTGAGAGAGGGCACCACAAACAAACACACACATGTGAGAGAGAGCACCACAAACAAACACACACATGTGAGAGAGGGGGCATCACAAACAGACACACACATGTGAGAGAGAGGGAATCACAAACACACACATGTGAGAGAGAGGGCATCACAAACACACACATGTGAGAGAGGGCACCACAAACAAACACACACATGTGAGAGAGGGTATCACAAACAAACACACACATGTGAGAGAGGGTATCACAAACACACACATGTGAGAGAGAGGGAATCACAAACAAACACACACATGTGAGAGAGAGGGCATCACAAACACACACATGTGAGAGAGAGGGCATCACAAACACACACATGTGAGAGAGAGGTCATCACAAACAGACACATGTGAGAGAGAGGGCATCACAAACACACACATGTGAGAGAGAGGGCATAACAAACACACACATGTGAGAGAGAGGGCATCACAAACACACACATGTGAGAGGAAGGGCATCACAAACAGACACACACATGTGAGAGAGGGTATCACAAACACACACATGTGAGAGAGAGGGCATCACAAACACACACATGTGAGAGAGAGGGCATCACAAACACACACATGTGAGAGAGAGGGCATCACAAACAGACACACACATGTGAGAGAAAGGGCATCACAAACAGACACACACATGTGAGAGAGAGGGCATCACAAACAGACACATGTGAGAGAGAGGGCATCACAAACACACACATGTGAGAGAAAGGGCATCACAAACAGACACACACATGTGAGCGAGGTCGCATTCAGGAGAACATGCCAGAATCATTGTAAATGTTTTTGGTGGTATGGAAAAAGGAGCACCTGGAGGAAACTCATGCAGACACGGTAAAACATGCAAACTCCATACTGAAAGGTCTGAAGGTGGAATCAAGCCCAGAGGCACAGATGCTCAGAATCGCACCACGGTGCTGCCCATACACAGCTGTTTACGTGATTAGGCCTTTTGTCCGTTGACTTTATTTGGACTCCATCAAGTTTTTGTAGCTACTGTACAGTGCGTTGATGCTCAAGGGTCAACACAAGCTTGTATAACTGTGTGTGTTGTGTTGTGAGTGGTGTATTGTATTGCACTGACCTAAGAAAGTGCTGGAGATGAACTCGGAGACCTGGTTCCCCGAGCGGCTCATCTCGGAGAGGTGCGTGAGCTCGCGGTTCAGCATCCTCTTGAACTGAAACCAGAGACACACACTTATTCATATGGGGACCTCATTAATCACACTTATTCATATGGGGACCTCATTACACACACATATACATATGGGGACCTCATAAAACACTCTTATACATATAGGGACCTCATAAAACACACTTGTGCATATGGGGACATCAAACACACACTTGTGCATATGGGGACCTCATAACACACACTTATTCATATGGGCCCCTCATTAATCACATATTCATATGAGGACCTCATAAAACACACATTTTTTCATATCGGGACTGCATAACACACATTCCAAACACACTTCTATATTAGAGGACTTCATAACAAACACACTTTTACATTAGAGGACTTTATAACAAACACACTTCTATATTAGAGGACTTCATAACAAACACACTTTTACATTAGAGGACTTTATAACAAACACACTTTTACATTAGAGGACTTTATAAAACACACTTATACATATGGGGACTTAATAAAACGCACATTCATACAAATGGGGACTTCATAAAAATCAGACTCTGAACACACTTATACATATACACTTCCTGAGCAACACTATGCATATACAACCACACATATGGGGACTCTACTGGTTAAAATACCTTGCAGGGACGGACATTACAAATGAATGTCTTAATTATAAATGTTGTAGAGTTTCATGTTGATTGTGTGCTCTTGTCCCCATCAAATAAATCAATACATAAACACACCACACATATGGGGACATCATGAGAGAAACACTGTCCAAACAAAACTGTACATATCAGTGTACCAATCCCTGGAGAATAATAATTGCCCACCCTTGGTATAAACTGTATGGTTATTAGCAATTATGACAGAAAGACAAAGAAAGAAAGTCCTAGGTCTCACTCTGGTTTGTCTCTGGTCTCTCTCTGGTCTCTCTCTGGTATCTCTCTCTCTGGCCTCTCCCCAGTCTCTCTCTGGTCTCTCTCTTTGGCCTCTCTCTGGTCTCTCTGTCTGGTCTATCTCTCTGGTCTCTCTCTGGTCTTTCTCTCTGGCCTCTCTCTCTGGTCTCTCTCTCTCTGGTCTCTCTCTCTCTGGCCTCTCTCCAGTCTCTCTCTGGTCTCTCTCTCTGGTCTCTCTCTCTGGTCTCTCTCTGGTCTCTCCCTGGTCTCTTTCTGGTCTCTCTCTGGTCTCTCTCTGGTCTCTCTCTTGTCTCTCTCTGGTCTCTCTATGGTCTCTCTCTCTGGTCTCTCTCTGGTCTCACAGCCCACGGTCCTCTTTGCAGAGCGGAGCACCTTGTTTAAAGCTCTCTTTTCTTTATCTGTGATGTTTCCAAACCACACAGACACAGAACCAACAAGTAAACTCTCAATGGTGCAGCGATAAAAGTTAAGCACAATCTTAGAGTTAGTGGTAAATTCTCTAAGTTTACGCAGAAAGTAGAGACGCTGACGAGCTTTCTTAACGACTCGGTCAGTGTTTTTAACCCATTTCAGGTCGTTAGACAGAGTTAAACCCAGAAACTTGCACTCCTCTACGATCTGCACCTGGGAGTTGTCGATTACGACAGGCAAATGAGAACTATTCTCTCTCCGGTCTCTCTCTCCGGTCTCTCTCTCTGGCCTCTCTCTGGTCTTTCTCTCTGGTCTCTCTCTGGCCTCTCTCTGGCTCTCTCTCTGGTCTTTCTCTCTGGTCTTTCTCTCTGGTCTCTCTCTGGTCTCTCTCTGGTCTCTCTCTGGTCTCTCTCTGGTCTCTCTCTGGTCTCTCTCTGGTCTCTCTCTGGTCTTTCTCTCTGGTCTCTCTCTGGTCTTTCTCTCTGGTCTCTCTCTGGTCTCTCTCTGGTCTCTCTCTGGTCTCTCTCTCTGGCTTCTCTCTGGCCTCTCTCTGGCCTTTCTCTCTGGTCTCTCTCTGGTCTCTCTCTGGCCTCTCTCTGGCCTCTCTCTCTGGTCTCTCTTTCCGGTGTCTTTCTCTGGTCTTTCTCTCTGGTCTCTCTCTGGCCTCTCTCTCTGGTCTCTCTCTCTCCTTTCTTTGACTGTGATGTTACCAAACCACACAGGCACAAAACCAACAACCAAACTGCAACAATAAAAGACATAAAGACGACTAAAAAGTTACATCTGTTTTCAAAAAATAAAAAATGTCCAAGTCCCTCCCACATTGTATAAGACTGGCTCACCTTCATGTACCCCCATGATACTGACAGGAGATAATTGGCTTCAGGCATTTTGAAGTCCCCAATGCCGTTTATGGTCACTCCTCTTCTCGGTAGTTAATCCAAAACGTGACAAAAACAAAAAAACTGACTCCTCCTATAACCCGGTCTGTCTCTCTGGTCTCCCTCTGGTCTCTCTCTGGTCTCCCTCTGGTCTCTCCCTAGTCTCCCTCTGGTCTTCCCTCTGGCCTCAATCTGGTCTCTCTCTGGTCTCTCTCCGGCCTCACTCTGGTCTCTCTCTTGTCTCTCTGGTCTCTCTATGGCCTCCCTCTGGCCGTTTATGGTCACTCCTCTTCCTGATAGTTGATACAAAACGCGATCAAAGAAAATATCTGACTCGTCCTGGTCCTAGGATCCTCCTGGTCCACAGAGACACCAGGACACAGCCTCCTCCATCGCGGCATCACTCCGACTGTGGTTTGCTGTCTGCTCTGGAGTCTCCCCCGCCTCCCCCTCCCACCCGGAGCTCGGCCCTGGCCTGTGATTGGCTGCGCTGGCCTGGTCCCTGATTGGGAGGGGTGGGGGTGATTGCGATGACCTACTGTACTGATTGAGTGCGAGGACGAGATCATGTGACGACAGAGACAGAATTATGTGAAGAAATCTGATTTTCTACTTTCCTCCAATCACTCGTTTTACCTTCATGTGTTTAAGGCCTTTGTCACATGCTCTGATCAGACTTTTACTGCTACTGCTACTGCTACTGCTACTGCTACTGCTGCTGCTACTACTGCTGCTGCTACTGCTGCTACTGCTGCTGCTACTGCTGCTACTACTGCTGCTACTACTGCTGCTGCTACTACTGCTGCTGCTACTACTGCTGCTGCTACTACTGCTACTGCTGCTACTACTGCTGCTGCTACTGCTGCTGCTACTACTGCTGATGCTACTGCTACTGCTGCTACTGCTGCTACTACTACTACTGCTACTACTACTGCTACTACTACTACTACCACTACTCCTCCTACTTGTACTGCTGCTACTTTTATTACTATAATGGCTTTTAAAGCAAGGACACTTTTGTGTCTGTATGTCTGTCTGTATGTGTGTGTGTCTGTATGTGTTTGTGTCAGTGTGTGTGTGTGTGTTTGTGTGTGCGTCTGTCTCTCTATGTGTGTGTGTCTGTACCTGTGTGTGTCTGTCTGTATGTGTGTGCGTCTGTCTGTATGTGTGTGCGTCTGTCTGTATGTGTGTGCGTCTGTCTGTATGTGTGTGCGTCTGTCTCTCTATGTGTGTGTGTCTGTCTGTATGTGTGTGCGTCTGTCTCTCTATGTGTGTGTGTCTGTATGTATGTGTGTGCGTCTGTCTCTCTATGTATGTGTGTGCGTCTGAAGTGGTTTTATGAAGAGCCTCGTCATCGGTGTGAAGAGCAGCATAAAGCAGCGTTACATCACGATTACGAGAAAGTGTTATGTATCAAATCTGACCAATCAGAGGCCTTCATACTAGTACATCCGACCAATGAGAAGATTTTATTATCTTGTTGTTTTAAAAAGCCTTGAATGGACAGGGCCTTCTCTGTGGTCTTAGAGAATACAGGGCCTTCTCTGTGGTCTTAAACCCAGAGCACAGGGCCTCAATGTGGTCTTAAACCCAGAGCACAGGGCCTTCTCTGTGGTCTCAGCTGCGTTCTCTCTCTCTGGCTCACTCCCTCTTTCTAGTCTCTCTCTGATCTCTATCTGGTCTCTCTCTAGTCTCTCTCTGGTCTCACTCAGCCCAAAGAGTCCCATAGTTTCAGAGCCAGGATCTAGAACATGTTTTTTTATTACAGAGTTCTATTGTTGGTTTTAAAGTTACGTACCCCAGCTTTAAGGTCAGTCATTATTTGTAAAGACTGTCTCAGTGTTGTAGCGTGGATTGTTCACCAGAGGGCGCCAGAGACCAGTTGAAACTTGTTCTATATTGTGCATAGTTTCCCAAGAGTCTGAGAGGCCACAGCGTTGATCTCAAATCAACATGAAAACTATGAACGCTCCAATCCTCCAAAAAGGTCCAGATATATATAATATATATATATAATATATATATAGGAGGTTCCCGTGGTGATCGGTGCACTCGGGGCAGTGACCCCGAAGCTAGAAGAGGTTACAGCAGATCCCCGGAACAACCTCCGACATCTGGGTCCAGAAATGTGCAGTGCTAGGAACAGCAAAGATACTGCGCAGAACCCTCAAGCTCCCAGGACCCGAGCTTAGAGAGGGATAACCGCCCACGGAGGGCCAAAGGTGAGTGGACAATTTATTTAAATATTTTTATATATATATATATATATATATATATATATATATATATATATATATATAGCCAGCTATATACTGTATAAGTGAAGAGACCATGAAGGAACAGATCAGGAACAGTCACATGGTCAGGACCAGGAGGAGCCAGCAGCTCTGCAGGAGGTTGAAGCAGGTCTCTCTCAAAATCACTGAAGCAAAAAAACTAAACAAAAATTCTCAAAAGGCACATTACATACTAAACTAGACTCAGTCAGTACTAAACTAGACTCAGTCAGGACTAAACTAGACTCAGTCAGGACTAAACTAGTCTCAGTCAGGACTAAACTAGACTCAGTCAGGACTAAACTAGACTCAGTCAGGACTAAACTAGACTCAGTCAGTACTAAACTAGACTCAGTCAGGACTAAACTAGACTCAGTCAGGACTAAACTAGACTCAGTCAGGAATAAACTAGACTCAGTCAGGAATAAACTAGACTCAGTCAGGACTAAACTAGACTCAGTCTGTACTAAACTAGACTCAGTCAGGACTAAACTAGACTCAGTCAGTACTAAACTGGACTCAGTCAGGACTGAACTAGACTCAGTCTGTACTAAACTAGACTCAGTCAGGACTAAACTAGACTCAGTCAGGACTAAACTAGACTCCTCAGTCAGGAATAAACTAGACTCAGTCAGGACTAAACTAGACTCAGTCAGAACTAAACTAGACTCAGTCAGGACTAAACTAGAGTCAGTCGGGACTAAACTAGACTCAGTCTGTACTAAACTGGACTCAGTCAGGAATAAACTAGACTCAGTCAGGACTAAACTAGACTCAGTCAGTACTAAACTAGACTCAGTCAGGAATAAACTAGACTCAGTCAGGACTAAACTAGACTCAGTCAGAACTAAACTAGACTCAGTCAGGACTAAACTAGAGTCAGTCGGGACTAAACTAGACTCAGTCTGTACTAAACTGGACTCAGTCAGGACTAAACTAGACTCAGTCTGTACTAAACTAGACTCAGTCAGGACTAAACTAGACTCAGTCAGGACTAAACTAGACTCAGTCTGTACTAAACTAGACTCAGTCAGGACTAAACTAGACTCAGTCTGTACTAAACTAGACTCAGTCAGGACTAAACTAGACTCAGTCTGTACTAAACTAGACTCAGTCAGGACTAAACTAGACTCAGTCAGGACTAAACTAGACTCAGTCTGTACTAAACTAGACTCAGTCTGTACTAAACTAGACTCAGTCAGGACTAAACTAGACTCAGTCAGGACTAAACTAGACTCAGTCAGGACAAAACTAGACTCAGTCAGGACTAAACTAGACTCAGTCAGTACTAAACTAGATTCTCTGGTCTCTTTCTGGTCTCTCTGGCCTCTCTCTGGTCTCTCTCTCTGGTCTCTCTCTGGTCTCTCTCTCTGGTCCCTCTCTGGTCTCTCTCTGGTCTCTCTCTGGTCTCTCTCTGGTCTCTCTCTCTGGTCTCTCTCTCTGGTCTCTCTCTCTGGTCTCTCTCTCTGGTCTCTCTCTTGTCTCTCTCTGGTCTCTCTCTGGTCTCTCTCTGGTCTCTCTCTGGTCTCTCTCTGGTCTCTCTCTGGTCTCTCTCTGGTCTCTCTCTGGTCTCTCTCTGGTCTCTCTCTGGTCTCTCTCTGGTCTCTCTCTGGTCTCTGTGGTTAGAATGTATGGTGAAAGTACAAGTACTGTAGAGCAGTACTCGAGTACATGCAGGAGTAAACAGACGACACAGACTTTTGAAATAATAATAATGAGAGGATTTAAAGTCAAAGCTGTCGTACCTGGTGTGAGCCGACCAGAAACACACAGAGACCAGGAGGAGCAGGAGACCAGGTGTTCACTCCGACAAACACACAGAGACCAGGAGGAGCAGGAGACCAGGTGTTCACTCCGACAAACACACAGAGACCAGGAGGAGCAGGAGACCAGGTGTTCACTCCGACAAACACACAGAGACCAGGAGGAGCAGGAGACCAGGTGTTCACTCCGACAAACACACATTAATGATCAAAGATAAAGGGCAGAGTTTAAAACCATGGAGAGGAAGAGCAGGATGAGCCGTTCTGGGCACATTCCAAACAACTCAGGTGAGTTCAGCTGCGTTCTCTCTCTCTGGCCACTCCCTCTTTCTAGTCTCTCTCTGATCTCTATCTGGTCTCTCTCTAGTCTCTCTCTGGTCTCACTCAGCCCAAAGAGTCCCATAGTTTCAGAGCCAGGATCTAGAACATGTTTTTTTATTACAGAGTTCTATTGTTGGTTTTAAAGTTACGTACCCCAGCTTTAAGGTCAGTCATTATTTGTAAAGACTGTCTCAGTGTTGTAGCGTGGATTGTTCACCAGAGGGCGCCAGAGACCAGTTGAAACTTGTTCTATATTGTGCATAGTTTCCCAAGAGTCTGAGAGGCCACAGCGTTGATCTCAAATCAACATGAAAACTATGAACGCTCCAATCCTCCAAAAAGGTCCAGATATATATAATATATATATAGGAGGTGCCCGTGGTGATCGGTGCACTCGGGGCAGTGACCCCGAAGCTAGAAGAGGTTACAGCAGATCCTCGGAACAACCTTGGACATCTCGGTCCAGAAATGTGCAGTGCTAGGAACAGCAAAGATACTGCGCAGAACCCTCAAGCTCCCAGGCCTCTGGTAGAGGACCCGAGCTTAGAGAGGGATAACCGCCCGCGGAGGGCCAAAGGTGAGTGGACAATTTATTTAAATATTTTTTTATATAAATTATATATAGAAGGCAGCGGTCCGGAGAGACTCCACATCTTGGACCCAGGACCATGAATGGATTGGTCAGCAAAGGCCACAGCAACCACAGAAGAACTCAATGTGAGAAGAGACCATGAAGGAACAGATCAGGAACAGTCACATGGTCAGGACCAGGAGGAGCCAGCAGCTCTGCAGGAGGTTGAAGCAGGTCTCTCTCAAAATCACTGAAGCAAAAAAACTAAACAAAAATTCTCAAAAGGCACATTACATACTAAACTAGACTCAGTCAGGACTAAACTAGACTCAGTCAGGACTAAACTGGACTCAGTCTGTACTAAACTAGACTCAGTCAGGACTAAACTAGACTCAGTCAGGACTAAACTAGACTCAGTCAGAACTAAACTAGACTCAGTCAGGACTAAACTAGACTCAGTCAGGACTAAACTAGACTCAGTCAGGACTAAACTAGACTCAGTCAGGACTAAACTAAACTCAGTCTGTACTAAACTAGACTCAGTCAGGACTAAACTAGACTCAGTCAGGACTAAACTGGACTCAGTCTGTACTAAACTAGACTCAGTCAGGACTAAACTAGACTCAGTCAGGACTAAACTAGACTCAGTCAGAACTAAACTAGACTCAGTCAGGTCTAAACTAGACTCAGTTAGGATAAAGGACACACACTAAACTCACCATAACTCACCAAACGTAACACAATGCTCTCCACACGACACACACATGGTTCCCTGGTACCTACCAAAGCAGAACTAAAGCCTGAGTATCTTCTGAGGAGTGTCGGGCGAGAGGTGGCTTTAAAAGCAGAACATCAGAGACTAGACTCGCCCTGACCCTAACTCGCCCTGACCCTGACAGGAACGGATTCTCCCCCGAGGATTTCCTCATGAAAAAATAAATAAAAAAGCTTAGATCAATCCCTCCTTAGTCAAACCAGGGAGACCCACTACACACTCCAATATGTTACACCCAAAAGACGATCCCAATATGCTACACCCAAGAGACGAGTCCAATATGTTACACCCAAGAGACGACCCCAATATGCTACACCCAAGAGACGACCCCAATATGCTACACCCAAGAGACGACCCCAATATGTTACACCCAAGAGACGACCCCAATATGCTACACCCAAGAGACGAGCCCAATATGCTACACCCAAGAGACGAGCCCAATATGTTACACCCAAGAGACGACCCCAATATGTTACACTCTGGCTCTACAGGTGGAACATTAAGGACAAGAGGAAACTAAAAGATAATTTATTAACAGCAACAAAAGTCTAGGGAATGAACACCAAGAAAACCAAAAGATGAAGGCAGGTCTGGGGGTGAACAGAGAGAGACAGACAGAGAGAGAGAGAGAGAGAGAGAGAGAGAGAGAGAGAGAGAGAGTCCTTCTCATATCATGTCCTGGTCCTTTCTTTGTTGTGTCCTGGTCTCATCTGGTCCTGTCCTGGTCCTCCTCTGATCCTGTCCTGGTCCTGTCCTGGTCCTTTCCTTTTCCCGTCCTGGTCCTGTCCTGGTCCTGTCCTGGTCCTCTCCTGGTCCTGTCCTGTTCCTTTCCTTTTCCCATCCTGGTCCTGTCCTGGTCCTCTCCTGGTCCTGTCCTGGTCCTGTCCTGGTCCTCTCCTGGTCTTGTCCTGGTCCTCTCCTGGTCCTGTCCTTGTCCTCTCCTGGTCCTGTCCTGGTCCTCTCCTGGTCCTGTCCTGGTCCTGTCCTGGTCCTGTCCTGGTCCTCTCCTGGTCCTGTCCTGGTCCTCTCCTGGTTCTGTCCTGGTCCTCTCCTGGTCCTATCCTGGTCCTGTCCCGGTCCTCTCCTGGTCCTTTCCTGGTCCTGTCCTGGTCTTCTTCTGGTCCTCTCCTGGTCCTGTCCTGGTTCTCTCCTGGTCCTTTCCTGGTCCTCTCCTTGTCCTGTCCTGGTTCTGTCCTGGTCCTTTCCTGGTCCTCTCCTGGTCCTGTCCATGGGCCTGTCCTGGTCCACTCCTGGTCCTGTCCTGGTCCTGTCCTGGTCCTGTCCTGGTCTTGTCCTGGTCCTGTCTTGGTCCTCTCCTGGTCCTGTCCTGGTCCTGTCCTGGTCCTGTCCTGGTCCTGTCTTGGTCCTGTCTTGGTCCTGTCTTGGTCCTGTCCTGGTCCTCTCCTGGTCCTGTCCTGGTCCTGTCCTGGTCCTCTCCTGGTCCTGTCCTGGTCCTCTCCTGGTCCTCTCCTGGTCTTGTCCTGGTCCACTCCTGGTCCTCTCCTGGTCCTGTCCTGGTCCTGTCCTGGTCCTGTCCTGGTCCTGTCCTGGTCCTTTCCTGGTCCTGTCCTGGTCCTCTCCTGGTCCTGTCCTTGACCTCTCCTGGTCCTGTCCTGGTCCTGTCCTGGTCCTCTGCTGGTCCTGTCCTGGTTCTGTCCTGGTCCTTTCCTGGTCCTGTCCTGGTCCTGTCCCGGTCCTGTCCTGGTCCTCTCCTGGTCCTTTCCTGGTCCTGTCCTGGTCCTGTCCTGGTCTTCTCATGGTCCTCTCCTGGTCCTGTCCTGGTTCTCTCCTGGTACTTTCCTGGTCCTCTCCTGGTCCTGTCCTGGTCCTTTCCTGGTCCTCTCCTGGTCCTGTCCTGGTGCTGTCCTGGTCCTGTCCTGGTCCTCTCCTGGTCCTCCCCTGGTCCTTCCTGGTCCGTCTCTGCAGCAGACACCATGAATGAACCAGGAGACAGTGTAGGCAGAACCAACTCATGCTTTTATTGAATCCATTGCATATAAAAGTTGTTTTGATGTTTTTATCATTTTATTGATAAAGTGGTACGATCTACAGTGCTATCCAATAGACTGCCATTAACAAGGACTCCATTAAAAGAACATTTTGTCCTGTGTGAAAACTTCCAGACAAGTTCTAAAGACGTCCTGAAGACCTTTAAAGTTACAGTTTGTGTTTCCTCTCACACCGTAAAAAATAGAAAATCATCAAAATCCTCTGTTTCCATTGGTCCAGGGCTGTTTCAGATCTACAGTATGTGTGTCAACAGAAGGAGAGGAAGCAGCGCCACCTAGGCCCAGGTCAGAGCAATGACAGGATGGAAGCGTGGACAGGGCTCAGAACGCTTCGTCTGGAGGTTTTAGAACACATCCAGTTACAAGAGATTCATCAACAGAGACTAAGAGTGAAGACTTTCAGAGAGAGACCAGAGAGAGAGCAGAGAGAGACCAGAGAGAGACCAGAGAGAGACCAGAGAGAGACCAGAGAGAGACCAGAGAGAGACCAGAGAGAGAGACCAGAGAGAGACCAGAGAGAGACCTGAGAGAGACCAGAGAGAGACCAGAGAGAGAGACCAGAGAGAGAGACCAGAGAGAGACCAGAGAGAGAGACCAGAGAGAGACCAGAGAGAGAGCAGAGAGAGACCAGAGAGAGACCAGAGAGAGAGCAGAGAGAGACCAGAGAGAGACCAGAGAGAGACCAGAGAGAGACCAGAGAGAGCGCAGAGAGAGACCAGAGAGAGACCAGAGAGAGACCAGAGAGAGAGCAGAGAGAGACCTGAGAGAGACCAGAGAGAGACCAGAGAGAGACCAGAGAGAGACCAGAGAGAGACCTGAGAGAGACCGGAGAGAGACCAGAGAGAGACCAGAGAGAGAGCAGAGAGAGACCAGAGAGAGACCAGAGAGAGACCAGAGAGAGACCAGAGAGAGAGCAGAGAGAGACCAGAGAGAGACCAGAGAGAGACCAGAGAGAGACCAGAGAGAGAACAGAGAGAGAGCAGAGAGAGACCAGAGAGAGACCAGGGAGGGACCAGAGAGACCAGGGAGACCAGAGAGAGACCAGGGAGGGACCAGAGAGACCAGGGAGGGACCAGAGAGAGACCAGAGAGACCAGAGAGATCAGAGAGAGACCAGAGAGAGACCAGAGAGACCAGAGAGATCAGAGAGAGACCAGAGAGAGACCAGAGAGAGACCAGAGAGAGACCAGAGAGAGAGGAGAGAGAGACCAGGGAGACCAGAGAGAGTCAACGGAGACCAGAGAGAGACCAGAGAGATCAGAGAGAGACCAGAGAGAGACCAGAGAGAGACCAGAGAGAGAGGAGAGAGAGACCAGGGAGACCAGAGAGAGACCAGTGTGACCAAGGAGACAAGGGAGACTAGTGAGACCACAGAGAGACCAGGGAGACCAGAGAGAGACCAGGGAGACCAGAGAGACCAGGGAGACTAGTGGGACCACAGAGAGACCAGGGAGACCAGAGAGAGACCAGAGAGAGACCAGGGAGACCAGAGAGAGACCAGAGAGACCAGGGAGACAAGTGAGACCACAGAGAGACCAGGGAGAGAGCAGAGGGAACAGAGAGAGACCAGAGAGAGACCAGAGAGATCAGAGAGAGACAACCGAGACCAGAGAGAGACCAGAGAGATCAGAGAGAGACCAGAGAGAGACCAGAGAGAGACGAGAGAGAGACCAGGGAGACCAGAGAGAGACCAGTGTGACCAGAGAGAGACCAGAGAGATCAGAGAGACCAGGGAGACCAGAGAGAACAGAGAGAGAGCCCAGAGAGATCAGAGAGACAAGAGAGACCAGAGAGATAATGGAGACAAGAGAGACAAGGGAGACCAGGTGACAAGGGAGAGACCAGAGAGGGTGCATGATGTAGTTGATGAAGCCCACCTGAGGAGAGGAGGTAAGACGCTTTATACAACCAGAGAGACCAGACAGAGACCAGAGAGAGACCAGAGAGACCAGAGAGAGACCAGAGAGACCAGAGTTAAGACAGACAATAGACACCAGAGAGGGTGCAGGATGTAGTCGTAGAGTTCAGACCAGACAGAGTCCAGAGAGAGACCAAAGAGACCTAAAGCGAGACTGGAAGCGTCAGCCAATGTGGTTTGAAGAAAAAAAAAAAGACGTCTTACATGACCAGAGACCAGAGAGACTTATCTAATCAGTCCTTACTACATGCACATGGTCCGTCTGATCCTGGCGTGTGGGTCTGGTACCTGGCTTTTCTCCACGGAGGCGTTGTGCTTGTCACACATGGGGCTGATCTCCATCCCCCGCTCCCTCTCGCGGTCGCCCTGGCTGAAGAACTCCTCCATGATGCGGTCCGTCCACTGTCGGTACAGCTGCAGCGGTTTGGTGGGGTTACTGAGGTCTGCACAGTGCACCATGTTCTGGAGGACCTGCAATCAGACACACCAGGTGAGACTGAAGGACCAGGAAGGAGGTTCTGGAAGAGCTGCAAACAGAGAGACCAGAGAGAGAGAAGAGAGAGAATAGAGAGAAGAGAGAGGCTGGAGGGAGAGGGAGAGAGAAGAGAGAGATAGACTGTAGGGAGAGAGAGAAAGAGACAGAGAGAGAGAGAGAGAGAGAGAGAGACTGTAGGGAGAGAGAGAGAGACAGAGAAGAGAGAGAGAGAGAGAGAGAGAGAAGAGCGCGAGAGAAGAGAGATAGAGAGAAGAAAGGGACTGGAGAGAGACTGGAGAGAGAGAGAGAGAGAAGAGAGAGAGATCTCAGACCAGCGAGATAATGGAAAGAGAGGGAAGAGAGCGGGACCAGAGAGAGAGATTAGAGAGAGACCACAGAGAGACTGAAGAGAGAGAGAGAGACCGGAGAGGGACTGGAGAAGCCAGATAGGCAAGACAAGAGTATGGACAAAAGGATCAAGAAGAGATTCTGAATTACCTGGAAACAGAGGGACCAGAGAGAGACTAGCGAGAGAGATAGCAGAGAGTTTGTGTGAGAGAGACCAGAGAGAGAGACCAGAGAGAGGCTGGAGAGAGAGAGATACCAGAAAGTGAGAGAGAGAGACCAGATTCAAGCCAAAGAGACAAGACTGAGAAGACCTGAGAACAAAAAGACCAGATAGACCAGAGACAGACTGGAGAGACAAGTGAGAGAGAAGCCAGAGAGAAACATAGAGACCAGAGAGAGACCCGAGAAACAAGAAGGAGGGAGAGAGACCAGAGAGAAGCCAGGGACAAGACAAGAGTTTGGGCTGAAGGATCAAGAACAGGTTCTGGAGGACTTGAGAACAGAGAGAGAGAGACCAGATAGACAAGAGAGACCTCAGAACAGCCAACTTTGGACGTTCAAGATGTGTTTATGTGGAACTTGTTGATCTGATGAACCTGTGGAACCTCTGATCAGGCCTAAATAAGATCCCTGGGTTTACGTGTATGTAGCTGGGATCGGTTCAGACAGAAGCAGCGATGTCCTCTCTGTGCCAGCAGGGGGCGCTCACCTGTATCCTGTCAGAGTAGTTGTCCAGCAGCAGCACTCCGGAGCTCGTGACCTTCTTCGTCTCCACCATGGTCTTCAGATCGGCCAGAAGGTTCATGTGCTTGGACATGTCTGTGGCCAACACCTGAGGGACACAGGACCTCGTCACGGCTTTAACCGACGGTGAAACATGAGACCGATCAGAGGCTATCGATCCAGTGACGGGGAAACACTCAGAAACGTGCTATATTTCATTCTATGTATTCATCACTGTCCTTAGACCCTCCTGCGATGAGAAGGATAGACCTGAAACAATGACATCGGGAGAGAACGTGAGAAACCTCGGGGAGACCCACATAGAGAGAGACAGATCCACTTCCACAGACTGTAGATCCAGGACTGAGGCTGTAGATCCAGGACTGAGGCTGTAGATCCAGGACTGAGGCTGTAGACCCAGGACTGAGGCTGTAGATCCAGGACTGAGGCTGTAGACCCAGGACTGAGGCTGTAGACCCAGGACTGAGGCTGTAGATCCAGGACTGAGGCTGTAGACCCAGGACTGAGGCTGTAGATCCAGGACTGAGGCTGTAGATCCAGGACTGAGGCTGTAGACCCAGGACTGAGGCTGTAGATCCAGGACTGAGGCTGTAGACCCAGGACTGAGGCTGTAGATCCAGGACTGAGGCTGTAGACCCAGGACTGAGGCTGTAGATCCAGGACTGAGGCTGTAGATCCAGGACTGTGGCTGTAGATCCAGGACTGAGGCTGTAGATCCAGGACTGAGGCTGTAGATCCAGGACTGAGGCTGTAGAGCCAGGACTGAGGCTGTAGATCCAGGACTGAGGCTGTAGATCCAGGACTGAGGCTGTAGATCCAGGACTGAGGCTGTAGACCCAGGACTGAGGCTGTAGATCCAGGACTGAGGCTGTAGATCCAGGACTGAGGCTGTAGATTCAGGACTGAGGCTGTAGACCCAGGACTGAGGCTGTAGATCCAGGACTGAGGCTGTAGATTCAGGACTGAGGCTGTAGACCCAGGACTGAGGCTGTAGATCCAGGACTGAGGCTGTAGACCCAGGACTGAGGCTGTAGACCCAGGACTGAGGCTGTAGATTCAGGACTGAGGCTGTAGACCCAGGACTGAGGCTGTAGATCCAGGACTGAGGCTGTAGACCCAGGACTGAGGCTGTAGACCCAGGACTGAGGCTGTAGACCCAGGACTGAGGCTGTAGATCCAGGACTGAGGCTGTAGATCCAGGACTGAGGCTGTAGACCCAGGACTGAGGCTGTAGACCCAGGACTGAGGCTGTAGATCCAGGACTGAGGCTGTAGACCCAGAACTGAGGCTGTAGACCCAGGACTGAGGCTGTAGATCCAGGACTGAGGCTGTAGACCCAGGACTGAGGCTGTAGATCCAGGACTGAGACTGTAGACCCAGGACTGAGACTGTAGACCAAGGACTGAGGCTGTAGATCCAGGACTGAGGCTGTAGACCCAGGACTGAGGCTGTAGACCCAGGACTGAGGCTGTAGACCCAGGACTGAGACTGTAGACCCAGGACTGAGACTGTAGACCCAGGACTGAGACTGTAGACCCAGGACTGAGACTGTAGACCCAGGACTGAGACTGTAGACCCAGGACTGAGGCTGTAGACCCAGGACTGAGGCTGTAGACCCAGGACTGAGGCTGTAGACCCAGGACTGACCCAGGACTGAGGCTGTAGACCCAGGACTGAGGCTGTAGACCCAGGACTGAGGCTGTAGACCCAGGACTGACCCAGGACTGAGGCTGTAGACCCAGGACTGAGGCTGTAGACCCAGGACTGAGGCTGTAGACCCAGGACTGAGGCTGTAGACCCAGGACTGAGGCTGTAGACCCAGGACTGAGGCTGTAGATCCAGGACTGAGGCTGTAGATCCAGGACTGAGGCTGTAGACCCAGGACTGAGGCTGTAGATCCAGGACTGAGGCTGTAGACCCAGGACTGAGGCTGTAGATCCAGGACTGAGGCTGTAGACCCAGGACTGAGGCTGTGCAGTGCAGTATTGAAGAGGCGGGTGCTTTTCTTCTGCAGGGGTGGGAGATGCGGCTGTACTTACGATGTCGATGACCATCTTTCGCAGTGATTGTCTCTGTTTTTTGGTCAGGTTTTGGAAGATGTCACAGTTCTCCTCCTGCAGCAGTTTGAAGCCCACGGCCAAGTGGTGGTTCTCCAACACGGAGGAGTCGTTATACATGAGAGCCAGCTCAGAGTCTGTGGAGGAGAGAGACTGATGTGAGAGACCTTAGAGAGAGAGAGAGAGAGAGAGAGAGAGCTCAGAGTCTGTGGAGGAGAGACGGATGTGAGAGACTTTAGAGAGAGAGGGAGAGAGAGAGAGAGAGAGAGAGAGCTCAGAGTCTGTGGAGGAGAGAGACTGATGTGAGAGACTTTAGAGAGAGAGAGAGAGAGAGCTCAGAGTCTGTGGAGAAGAGAGACTGATGTGAGAGAGAAAGAGAGAGAGAGAGAGAGTCTGTGGAGGAGAGAGACTGATGTGAGAGACTTTAGAGAGAGTGAGAGTGAGAGTGAGAGTGAGAGAGAGAGAGTGAGAGAGAGAGAGAGAGAGAGAGCTCAGTCTGTGGAGGAGAGAGACTGATGTGAGAGACTTTATAGAGAGAGAGAAGAGAGCCAGCTCAGAGTCTGTTGAGGAGAGACTGATGTGAGAGACTTTAGAGAGAGAGAGAGAGAGAGAGAGAGTGGAGAGAGTTTGGAGGAGAGACTGATCTGAGGGACTTTAGGAAAGACAGAGAGAAAAACTGAGAGAGAGAAAGAAGGAGAGATGAAGAGAGAGAGAGCTGAGAATCTGTTGAGGAGAGACTGATGTTAAGATAAATTAGAGACACAAAAAGAAAAAAGAGAGACCAGAGAGAACAGAGAAAGGGAGACAAGAGAGAGACCAGAGAGAAAAAACAGGGATAAAACAAAGAGAGAGAGACCAGAGAGAATGTGACAGAGGCCAAATATAGAAGGATGTGAAAACTGTGTTAGAGCTTCCTGTTTCAGACCCAGGAGCCAGTGACATATTCTAGATTATTTAGTGTGTTTTAAAGTTAGCGACCCTAGCTTGAAACAGCTCCACTCACTCGTGCTGATGAGAAACTGGTTGGAGACTCCTGGATGGTCAACATCGTGGATCGCACTGGCAAAAATGGCAGCTAAGATCTCCAAGTCGGTGAACACAGCCTGGAGCAGAGCAGAAGGAGACCACTTTAGAGCTAACGACGCTAACGTCAGGAATAAGCAAATACGTTTTCAACAGACTTAAACAACAACATATCCTCTCGTCATGGGGTGAGGATAGAAGAAGACAATAGATACGTCTGAATCTGAATGTTTTATAAAGCATTCAACCACAGCGCTCTAGCCGGACTTTCTTCCAAACCGGTCTGCACAGTCTGGTCCTGGTCTACATGAGGCACTGAGTAACATGGGGCTCTCAAAACTTTGCCTGAGCACTCACACTTTGAAACAAAGAAATTATTTTTCCAATCTATGAAAGTCCTTTTAGTTTTTGAGTTAGGACCTTTTACAGTCCAAATACTTTACTGTGAAGAGAGAGACCAGAGAGAGACAGAGAGACCAGAGAGAGAGAGCAGAGAGAGAGAGAGAGACCAGAGAGAGAGAGCAGAGAGAGAGAGAGAGAGAGCAGAGAGAGAGAGACCAGAGAGAGAGACCAGAGAGAGAGAGAGAGAGCAGAGAGAGAGACCAGAGAGAGAGAGAGAGCAGAGAGAGAGAGACCAGAGAGAGAGCAGAGAGAGAGAGAGAGAGAGAGAGAGAGAGATACCAGAGAGAGAAAGACCAGAGAGAGAGAGACCAGAGAGAGAGAGAGAGAGAGAGAGACCAGAGAGAGAGAGAGAGAGACCAGAGAGACCAGAGAGAGAGCAGAGAGAGAGAGAGAGACCAGAGAGAGAAAGAGAGACCATAGAGAGAGAGAGAGAGAGAGAGACCAGAGAGAGAAAGACCAGAGAGAGAGAGACCAGAGAGATAGAGAGAGAGAGACCAGAGAGAGACCAGAGAGAGACCAGAGAGAGACCAGAGAGAGACCAGAGAGAGACCAGAGAGAGAGCAGAGAGAGACCAGAGAGAGACCAGAGAGAGACCAGAGAGAGACCAGAGAGAGAGCAGAGAGAGAGAGCGAGAGAGAGAGAGAGAGCATGAATATGAAAACACAAACACAGTAGTGGAGTCAATAACACTCTGCTGTACCAAGCCAGACCAGTCCAGACCAGTCCAGACCAGTCCAGGCCAAAGAGTAAATCATGTTTTTTCCACCATAGATTATTTCTGTAGATAATATAAATGATAATGAACCGTGATGACATTTATTTACGTGGACTGTCCAGTATCGCCACCTGCTGGGCACAGCCTGAACAGCACTCTGACATATGCAAAAACTAGAGTGTTAAAAGCACAGGGTGAAATATTTCAGAGTTGTTTTTAACATTATAAGTGTCATTTTAACACTGTGAGAGTTGATCATGGTCAGAGTTTGAGTTATTTGTCAGTGTTACTGGAATCATGATTTTGAAAACATTATTCAGTGTTCATTTAACATCTTCAGACACTTGTGAACACGATCAGGGTGAACACAGTTTAGAACCAGATCCATCCAGTTTGAATCCAACACTTCTCAGCATTTTTCTGCCTGACGTGGTCTTGAACACATGCAGCTGGATTTTTTGGTAACATTTATTTAACATTTGAAAATATGGTTTTATTGTTAATAAAATGTTGTTTACTGACACTCAACACGCCTTGAAGTATATTGTATTATTAACAGCGGCTAAAACTCTTGACCAAAGTGCTTTCAACATCATACTTTTATGAAATGTAGACAACAGTTTTAGGATTAACTCGATACTGCATATTAAAGTGTTCAACTTGTGTTATTTTAACTGGACTGGAACTATGAGTTTCATTTTAGCTTCAGTACTGGTTCTTAAAATACCATAACTTATGTTGCTGGTGTTAGCTCATGTTTGACCATGTAGCGCTGCTAGCGTTTGCTCAGTGTTAGCATGTGTTGTAGCCACCATTGTGCACATGGTTAAGACTTTTCTGGTAAAGTCTTCTTGTGTCTTTAGGTGGATAAACATGGCGCTGATATTCACAGTGAAGTACCAAGCAAACTTACAAGGTATTTTTTTCTCTGCATTTGATCCATGTCTAAATTAATCTAATCTAATCTAATTTTGCGCACATTTTTAAAAGTTCCAATATTACTCATGGTTCTTTTTATTTTCAGCTACAGTACATTCTAAAGACCAAAGCACGTCCATGGGATTGTGATGACATATCCCTCCCTCAAAGGTCCGCATGCAAGGATCGCTGGGGAATATTAACATTTCAGCCGTTACCAAAATGCTATGTATTGTCTGTTCAAATTGATATTTTTAAAGTATTATTCTGTCTTTTCAGGAGCATGTTTACAGCATGTTCACAACTTACTGCAACTACAAACACCTGGACAGTGACGGCGGACAGAAACTTATCAATGACCGTGGAAAAAGATGCATTTACCGTCTTTCCCTTGTCACCAAAGGATTGTAAGATATCTGTTATGTTTTGAATGATTCCTTATGATTTTCACTCTTTCTCAGTTTGATGCTGTGTTTCTGGTGAATCAGGACTTTACACTTCTGTTCGATGAAGACACAAACACAGCTCCTCATGAATTGGGATCTCTGTTTCGAGGAACGACTTGCATGGACCCCAGAGTTACAATCACAGCTTGAGTCAGCTCAAACTCTAATGAAACAGGAACCATTTGTCCCATTTTAAGATTTTCTTTTACCGTAAGTAAAAAATAAAAGATTAAATACTTGTTATACTTTTTGTTTTTTAGCTAATGGTTCTGAAATTACTTCATCTTCAACTGCCACCTCATGAGGAGCAAAGAGCTCTATAAGACATCTTTCTGGAGGTAATAGACATTTTAGACAAAGTATGGAGAATGCTTCACACATCGTAAAACAAATGAGACATCTCTTCTCTGAGCAACCACCCATTCTTACGAACACACTTTCAGTCGACAAGGATGTTAGATTTTCCTTCTTCCATCTCTTGCTGAAGTTCCGTAATCAAAGTTTACTTGAAGTTGAAATGTTATTAGCATTTTTTAGTATTAGAATCCAAACGCAGACAGCAGCACACAGTGTTCTCATTCATCCATTTGCCACTAACAGTCTGTTAATGCGCCATATTCATACTTTTCTTTGTTTCCACCAGTCCTGCTGCAGCTCAGAGGAGCACCAGACCCCAACATCCTGCGGGTGGGCAGCAACCGGCAAAATGGACAACATTAGATTGGACTCTCATCTCATCCCAGACCAGGCAACCTTTTTAAGTTATTTTGTGTTCAACTTGTCCTCTGAGGCTGCTTTAGTCTATCTTTACATGTATTCAGACCAGAGCAGTGTTCAACATAGATGTAGAGAATGTTAGTGTCCTGGGGTAAAGGAGGAGCAAAACCAAACCAACTGTGTTTGTGTTTTCTGTGTAAGTAACATTTATCAGTTGTATCCCTGTGTTTTCTTTAATTCTACTGCTACTACTGGTCTGGAAAATGTTTTCTTTCAATGCAGGATGCTTATCATGCTTCAGAGTCTCAGATGTGATGAAAGATGTCTCGTCACCCTTTTGTGTCTAAAACATTCAAAGCTGTTTGATATTCAAAAAGTCTGCAATATTTCACATTGAAGTTTGTAAATATTTTCACTTTTTGCCCTGTTTTAATTCATTAAAATGATTTTTTTTTTTTTTATTCATGTTTTCCTAATTTAACATTTTATAGTGTATAGTAGCTACTCAAAAAATATGACATTATCATTAGAAATAGTGCAAATAAAACACCTGGTGTGATGACCTCACAAAGTAACTCTCGAGGTGTTAATATAAGCCTTGATTTCAGTGTTAAAAAAAACAACTCTTTTCCAGTGTTACTGAATTAACTAAACAAGGAATGTTAAATTAACTCTCAAATGAGGTGGACTCAAATAAACTCTGGGAAAATGTTAAAATTGACTTTGTGAGAGTCAATATAACACTACTTTCTGCTGTGTATGATCCACAGTGCAGTGTTCAGGCAAGTTTATTTGGTTTTTATTTATTGGCATATACCATATATTACAGCACAGACATTATAGACACATTTGTACATATGAACCTACATGAACATTTAAGCATTTACATTGGGTCAGGAGGGGGGACAGGGGGGATTCAGCGTGCGCGAGTGTGTGTGTGTGTGTGTGTGCGTGTGTGTGTGTGTTCACTTTTGGTGTATTGAATCTATCTGAGGGTGTTGAAGGTGTTCTATTGACCGGTAGTGAGAGATCGAGGGAGAAAGAAAAGAAAGAGAATAGTAATAATAATAACTTATTTTTTGTATTTATTTTTTATTTTTTTATTTTTAGTATTTATTATAATTATTTGTATTTTTATTTTTTGTATTTATTATTTATTAATATTTTTTTTATTTATTTTAATTATTTTTTTATTTTTTATTTATGTTTTATGTTTTATTAATTTTTATTTATTTATTTTTAGGCAAGTTTATTTGTAAAGCACAACTCATGCACTTCACAAAAAAAGTCCAATCATCACTGTACATGCATTTGAGTCGTTTAAAGCTGCACTAACTGACTTTATTTTCGTACTAATTACGAAAATGCTATCCATGTCCATGTAGGGCATTGGGATAAACGTCCTTTTGAAGAAACAGTAGCACAGATTTGTGCTGGCGTGACATTATATTTTAGATCGAGTTTTGATGAAACAAGGAAGAGAATGTGTTTCGGGTCTCAGATTGTGACCAATCACAGCGCACCACTGGCCCCCACTTTTGTGAGAAATCTCCAGGTCCGTTAGCATAGACGGCTGAGTTAGCACAACAAGCGGCGGAGCTAACCTGAAGCTTCATGTCTTCGTCACCGGTTACTGCTTACACAGCGAGACAGCCATCCAAAAGAAAGTCTCGTTCCTCCGCTCTTCCCGGTTCTATCGTTCTATGGTCACGCCATCCACGTGAAAATCCATATCCATGTATTATCCATATTGGAAGATGCTAGCTCCGTCCCAACAGTGGGTGTGTGTGGGGGGCGATAGCTTCGTGGGTGCGGGGAGGGGAGCAGAAAGAGAGAGGCCAGCGAGTCCACGGCTTCAAAATCCCAAAGTCAGTTAGTGCAGCTTTAAAGCTCTGAACCCTGAATTCAACAGAAACTGAGGAATCTTTCAAATAATTTATTGTTTATTAATGTGCATTGTCTTCATCAAACAAACAAACAACAACAATCCTGATGTGCTGTTGTCATGGAAACATGTGTTTATACTGTAGTTCTGGTTCATTCACCAACTATCAACAAAGACCATCAACAATACCATCAAGATAAAGACTGATGATGATAAGCCTCCATCATCCACCAATCAGGAGCCTCCATCATCCACCAATCAGGAGCCTCCATCATCCACCAATCAGGAGCCTCCATCATCCACCAATCAGGAGCCTCCATCATCCACCAATCAGGAGCCATCATCATCCACCAATCAGGAGCCTCCATCATCCACCAATCAGGAGCCTCCATCATCCACCAATCAGGAGCCTCCATCATCCACCAATCAGGAGCCTCCATCATCCACCAATCAGGAGCCTCCATCATCCACCAATCAGGAGCCTCCATCATCCACCAATCAGGAGCCTCCATCATCCACCAATCAGGAGCCTCCATCATCCACCAATCAGGAGCCATCATCATCCACCAATCAGGAGCCTCCATCATCCACCAATCAGGAGCCTCCATCATCCACCAATCATCTCTCACTATTCTCACAAAAACACACACATTTGGGAGAGTCTTGGTAGAAACCTTTGGAACTGGTGAATATTGTGAAAGTGTGTGATTGGAAGTGTTGTGTGTCCTACAATTTGTGGTGCATTAAAAACAAGCAGGGTTTGTGTGCAGCAAGGAAGAGGTGTGTGTCCTCCTGCTGCTGCTCTACTCCTGCTGCTCCTCTCCTGCTGCTGCTCCTCTCCTGCTGCTGCTCCTCTCCTGCTGCTCCTCTCCTGCTGCTGTTCCTCTCCTGCTGCTGCTCCTCTCCTGCTGCTGCTCCTCCTGCTGCTGCTCCACTCCTGCTGCTCCTCTCCTGCTGCTGCTCTACTCCTGCTGCTGCTCCTCTCCTGCTGCTCTCCTCCTGCTGCTCCTCTCCTGCTGCTGCTCCACTCCTGCTGCTGCTCCTCTCCTGCTGCTGCTCCACTCCTGCTGCTCCACTCCTGCTGCTGCTCTACTCCTGCTGCTGCTCCTCTGCTGTTCCTGCTGCTGCTCCTCTCCTGCTGCTGCTCCTCTCTGCTGCTGCTCCACTCCTGCTGCTCCACTCCTGCTGCTGCTCTACTCCTGCTGCTGCTCCTCTCCTGCTGCTCTGCTCCTGCTGCTGCTCCACTCCTGCTGCTGCTCCTCTCCTGCTGCTGCTCCTCTCCTGCTGCTCCTCTCCTGCTGCTGCTCTACTCCTGCTGCTGCTCCTCTCCTGCTGCTCTGCTCCTGCTGTTCCTCTCCTGCTGCTGCTCCACTCCTGCTGCTCCTCTCCTGCTGCTCCTCTCCTGCTGCTCCACTCCTGCTACTGCTGATGCTCCTGCTGCTGCACCTCTCCTGCTGCTGCTGCTCCTGCTGCTGCTCCTCTCCTGCTGATGCATCTCCTGCTGCTGCTCCGCTCCTGCTCCTGCTGCTGCTCCTCCTGCTGCTGCTCCTCCTGCTCCTGCTGCTGCTGCTGCTGCTGCTCTGCTCCTCTCCTGCTGCTGCTCCTCCTGCTCCTGCTGACCCATTTCTCTGGTGAGATTGTTTGGTTTCATATATTTATAGATTTCTCGCAGTAAAACTTTATTATGTGTTGTTTATTATTGTTATATTTGAATTTACTTCATTATTTCTAGTATAAACAACTTCAAATAGAGACGACAGTGGATCAGTTGGTAGAACATTGGTCTCTGAACCTGATGGTTGTGGGTTCGATCCCCCCACGACCCATGTCATCTGCTCCCACTGTGTCCCTGGGCAAGACACTTAACCTTTCAGACTCTGGTTTCATATCATTCATAGCACACAATATTCTGTGAGTCTTAAAAATCAGTGAAGTCATCAACAATGGCTGGCAGTCAATAAGAACCTCTTTTTCAGTCGTGTACAAAAATATCATACAATTACAGATTATAAAACAGTCACATACAGATTATTAAACAGTCACATACAGATTATTAAACGGTCACATACAGATTATTAAACGGTCACATACAGATTATTAAACAGTCACATACAGATTATAAAACAGTCACATACAGATTATTAAACGGTCAAATACAGATTATAAAACAGTCACATACAGATTATAAAACAGTCACATACAGATTATTAAACAGTCACATACAGATTATTAAACAGTCACATACAGATTATAAAACAGTCACATACAGATTATAAAACAGACACGTACAGATTATTAAACAGTCACATACAGATTATAAAACAGTCACATACAGATTATAAAACAGTCACATACAGATTATAAAACAGTCACATACAGATTATAAAACAGTCACATACAGATTATAAAACAGTCACATACAGATTATTAAACAGTCACATACAGATTATTAAACAGTCACATACAGATTATAAAACAGTCACATACAGATTATAAAACAGTCACATACAGATTATAAAACAGTCACATACAGATTATAAAACAGTCACATACAGATTATAAAACAGTCACATACAGATTATTAAACAGTCACATACAGATTATAAAACAGTCACATACAGATTATAAAACACTCACATACAGATTATAAAACAGTCACATACAGATTATTAAACAGTCACATACAGATGATAAAACATTCACATACAGATGATAAAACAGTCACATACAGATTATTAAACAGTCACATACAGATTATTAAACAGTCACATACAGATTATTAAACAGTCACATACAGATTATTAAACAGTCACATACAGATTATTAAACAGTCACATACAGATTATAAAACAGTCACATACAGATTATAAAACAGTCACATACAGATTATTAAACAGTCACATACAGATTATTAAACAGTCACATACAGATTATAAAACAGTCACATACAGATTATTAAACAGTCACATACAGATTATAAAACAGTCACATACAGATTATTAAACAGTCACATACAGATTATTAAACAGTCACATACAGATTATTAAACAGTCACATACAGATTATTAAACAGTCACATACAGATTATTAAACAGTCACATACAGATTATAAAACAGTCACATACAGATTATAAAACAGTCACATACAGATTATAAAACAGTCACATACAGATTATTAAACAGTCACATACAGATTATAAAACAGTCACATACAGATTATTAAACAGTCACATACAGATTATAAAACAGTCACATACAGATTATAAAACAGTCACATACAGATTATAAAACAGTCACATACAGATGATTAAACAGTCACATACAGATGATTAAACAGTCACATACAGATTATAAAACAGTCACATACAGATTATAAAACAGTCACATACAGATGATTAAACAGTCACATACAGATTATAAAACAGTCACATACAGATTATTAAACAGTCACATACAGATTATAAAACAGTCACATACAGATTATTAAACAGTCACATACAGATTATAAAACAGTCCACATACAGATTATAAAACAGTCACATACAGATTATTAAACAGTCACAAACAGATTATTAAACAGTCACAAACAGATTATAAAACAGTCACAAACAGATTATTAAACAGTCACAAACAGATGATTAAAACAGTCACATACAGATTATTAAAAACAGATTATAAAACACACTACACAACGTTTACAACAGTCACAATTACGGATTTAAAACAGTCACATAAGGATTATAAACAGTCACACACACTACAGCTTTTAACGTCCGTCTAAAACAGTCACATTGAAGGAAATACGTTCAGATCATTTCCAGTCTTTTTACAACACGTTCCATGAAGAAGGAGCAGAGAGCAACAAAAGATCATTTGATCCAAACCATGAGAACATGTCTCTGAGTAAACGATCCAAACCATATGAACATGTCTGAGTAAACGATCCAAACCATAAGAACATGTCTCTGAGTAACGATCCAAACCATATGAACATGTCCTCTGAGTAAACGATCCAAACCATATGAACATGTCTTGAGTAAACGATCCAAACCATAAGAACATGTCTCTGAGTAAACGATCCAAACCATATGAACATGTCTGAGTAAACGATCCAAACCAGTATGAATCATGTCTGGAGTGGAACGTCCAAGACCATAAGGATCATGTCTGAGTAAACGATCCAAACCATGAGAACATGTCTGTGAGTAAACGATCATACCATAGAACATTTCTGATGAACGATCCAAACCATGAGTCTGTCTCGAGTAAACGATCCAAACCATATGAACATGTCTCTGAGTAAACGATCCAAACCATAAGAACATGTCTCTGAGTAAACGATCCAAACCATAAGAACATGTCTGAGTAAACGATCCAAACCATATGAACATGTCTCTGAGTAAACGATCCAAACCATATGAACATGTCTCTGAGTAAACGATCCAAACCATATGAACATGTCTCTGAGTAAACGATCCAAACCATATGAACATGTCTCTGAGTAAACGATCCAAACCATATGAACATGTCTCTGAGTAAACGATCCAAACCATATGAACATGTCTCTGAGTAAACGATCCAAACCATATGAACATGTCTCTGAGTAAACGATCCAAACCATAAGAACATGTCTGTGAGTAAACGATCCAAACCATGAGAACATGTTTTTATTTTTTATTTTTATTTATTTATTTATTTGAATTAGGACAGTGCACATTAATCAACACGTCAGCCAAAAGCATCAATGTAAATGTACCAGAATTAGCGTGAGAGCTAAATTGCATCCGTTGTCCTAAGGCAGGAAAAGAAACATTGACAGTAGGAAAATACAAACATAGTACAGAGAACAGCACAAAGTTACAGTCATAGTTACAAGGACAGACACAGGTACGATAACATAACACGCCCAAGAATTGATTAAGCATTGAACTTTAATTAAACTACCTGTGAGTGCAAGATTGATTTGTTTTTAACCAGATTTTTTTTTAGGACCTTTTTAAAGGTGTGGTAATTGTCACAGTTCCTGATATGAACAGGCAGCGAGTTCCAAAACTGCGAGCCTCTGATAGACTCCACCGTTTAGACTGAATTTAGTCCTACGACTTGCACAATACAGTCTCCTCTGTCAGCGCTCTGGTATTTACTCGAGTGTTTTTTTTTTTAATTACTTATTTGTGGATATAAAATTCCTTAATGGTGGAGGGGCAAGACCTTTTAAAACTCTAAAAACTAAACAGGCATCCAGAACTCTGATAGCCGTCAAAATCCTAAAATATTATACTTACTTACAATGTGGCAGTAATGATAATGAAAAGGCTTTCTATCCAAAGTTTTCAATGTTTTCTTAAAGAGAGACTTGATAGGCTCATGTTGGACTCTGATGTTTGGGACCATGTGGTTTGACAGTACGTTAATAATGGCAAAAGATCATTGAATGCATATAAGCCTTTGCAGACTCTGTGGTCAGACATGGTCTTATATGCTTAATAATTTTTTGACAAATTGAATTTAATGCTGTGTGCAAATTTATTCTTGATATGCTGCTTAAAATCTAGATTTGGAATCAAAGAGCACTCCTAAATACATGAATAGTTAAACTTCATTTAAT